GCATTATCATCAGCAGCTGCATCTCAGCCGAATTGTGAACATTACCAGTTTTTCTGTCTTACATAGCCTGCTACAGTAGTACCAATTACACGAAGCAATACAGGGTTCATGCGTTTATGTAAAGTCATAAGTCAGACGTTGTATTCATACTGGAGGAATCCGATGAGTAGTAAATTCGTGGTCAAATGAGCTGTTGAGGCCCGGCTGAGGCAGTGGTGGAAATTCCTGTGACGGGTGGGCGAGTTCCTCCACAGGGTGACTCGACTGTTTATTTCCCCATAACGTGGTAGGGATTACTCGCTTTATCACCCCCCTCCCACCCAAAGCAGCGCTGATGGGCTGATTCAAACTCAGAACCCAGTGATTTGAACTCGCAGCTCTCCGATTGCCAGACACGTCGGCGATTATACATTTTGTGTTTCCCTTTTAATATCACAACCAATATTATGGAGTCACAACATCAAATATGTTAAGAGGGTCATCAGATATAGGTAGGGGTATCGATAAATGGATCGCCGTGTACTGTAGTCATGATGTAACAGAAGCAACTGCGTTATCATCACCCAGGGTAAATCCACTGCTGGATGAATGCTACGTCCACACAAGAGCTTACCGAGCCGAATTTCTCGCTCCATCTCCCACAGTGACGACCCAACATTAGCCGTACAAGGCTGTACCATAGCATTAACTTTGCTACGACTTTTCTATCACACGCTCGACAAATGTACATACACACACGCACACTATGATGTGACAAACGCACGGCAACCGCTCACATTGTCTCTTTTCTGTTTGTGTATTTATATCGGAAGGTGACGGGCGTTGGGGGGGGGGGGCGTGTCGGCTCTACCGGGGCTCAACGGACCCTTAGGCCGGTCAGGCCGCTAGGAAACACCGCGGCTCCACAGCAAATGCGCTAGGCCGCACCCGATGTTCATCACAAAAGACGCGCGCGCTGATCATCATTACTCCCTCGCGTGTTGGCTTCGCGGCAATACTTGCACTCGAGTGCACTTTAGACGAGAGACACGTCGCTGCTGCAAGGAAGATGACGATGATGGTGGTGGTGATGTGGGTCGACGGTTGTGACTTGACCACAACGGAGCGGCATCCGCAAAGGATTGAACGCAGCTGCTCCGGATTGCCGAAGCGATGAAAGCAGCTCGGCTGCCCAGGCGCGAAGCTGGCTTATTTAACGACTCCTGCTGCAGTATTGAACTAGTAAAGCTACTAAAACTTCAATCGCCACCATCATCATCGCCGCAGTGAAATCCAGCATGGGATAGAGGACCCCCCCTCTCTCTAAATCCGTACAACGGACACGCGCGCGCGGCGCCCGCTCCCCATTGGCTCGAGCGAATCCTCGCGCGCGCGCCCCTCGGCCAATCACGAGGCTCCTTTCCCAACACGACGGCGGCGGCGCTCGCCGATCCGTGATAGGAATTACAATCGACGGATGTGGGAAGGGGGGCGAGATGGGGGGCACAGCACAGTTGCCAACTCAGAGGTTTTTGTCACCAGATTTGTTATTTTTTTATTTCAGTTTGTGGTTTTTATTTCTTCCTCCAAGAGGCGAAGTGGGTATACTTTAATAATTTACTTATCTATCCAGGAAAGCCACACTTAGTCGTTTTCAGGAGGGCCTTGCTTACGTTGTGTTTTTATTCTGAGATGTTTTCAGCCAATGAATGATGAGTGCCGTGTTTATTAAGGTCCGGACAGGGTGGCTAGGGGATGTTGTCTTTATACGTGACTTTACCGAAAGAACCAAAGAATAATTCCTGCAGTCACGAAAGCTCCAAAATTAAGATGTTAACAACCTCGCCTGGTATGCAGCAGGTCATGGGTTCGATCCCGACCCTGACACCTGCTGTATTATTGAAGTTTGGGTGTTAGCGTGGATTTTTATCCGGGTCCTCCGGTTTTCCCCTCCACATTTAAAATCAATATCACGCGTTTTGAGTGTTTGTCTTGCTCTACATTTCCACGTCATGATGATAAGCCACTTCGTTCAGCTATTGTTTGTGGCCAGGTTGCTTCTGACAAAAAAAGAACTACATAGCTCCGTGGGTCTTACCTTGTAAAATGAGACAAAATGTGAGCTAAATAGTTCGTATCATACGCGTGGGGAGGAAACTGGAGAAACACGCGCCTTGCAGGCATTACTCCTGAACATGGGTGACGATAACACAGCTGTTGACCATTCCCTTCTAAACATAAACTAAACTTCTTTGTATTTTGCCAAGTAGTGCCCACTGAACTATAAAGCTCTTTTTTCAGAAGCTACCTGGCCGTAAATGATAGTGGCTTATCGTCATATGGAAACGTATAGCAGCCAAATGCTCGAAACGCGTGGTGATGTTGATTTTAAATGTGGAGGGGAAAACCCGGAGGACCCGGAGAAAATCCACGCGACCACGGGATGAGAGAGAGAGACACGCAAACTCCAAATATACAGCAGAAGGCGTCAGGGTCGGGATCGAATCCAGGACCTCCTGTAGTCCAGGCGAGGTAGTTAACATCTCCTAGCCACCGTGATGATGATGAGAGAGACACGCAAACTCCAAATATACAGCAGCAGGCGTCAGGGTCGGGATCAAACCCAGGACCTCCTGTAGTCCAGGCGAGGTAGTTAACATCTCCTAGCCACCGTGATGATGATGAGAGAGAGACACACAAACTCCAAATATACAGCAGCAGGCGTCAGGGTCGGGATCGAACCCAGGACCTTCTGTATACCAGGCGAGGTAGTTAACATCTCCTAGCCACCGTGATGATGAGAGAGAAACACACAAACTCCAAATCAACAGCAGGCATCGTCAGGGTCGGGATCGAACCCATGACCTCGTCCTGTAGCCCAGGCGAGATAGTTAACATCTCTTAGCCACCGTGATGATCATTAGAGAGAGAGACACGCAAACACCAAATATACAGCAGCAGGCGTCAGGGTCGGGATCGAACCCTGGACCTCCTGTAGACCAGGCGAGGTAGTTAACATCTCCTAGCGAACCGTGATGATGATGAGAGAGAGAGAGACACGCAAACTCCAAATGTACAGCAGCAGCAGGCATCGTCAGGGTCGGGATCGAACCCAGGACCTCCTGTAGACCAGGCGAGGTAGTCAACATCTCTGGAGACGCATGCTACGATGAGCATGGTGGGTGACATGACGTAGATCGAGGCGCTGTTTGAGGTGTTCAGGTTCCTGTAGAAGAAGGCTAAAGGCGCAACCCTGCAATTTCCTGCCCACGCCGCTGCTGCCAGAAGAAGCCACTGCTGCTTTAGAGGTTGCTCTAGAGAGAGTCTCTGACAGAAAGGAAAGTATTCGGCCTCCTCTTCCTCAACGTTGGCCTGACGTCTTGCAATGTGGTTGGAGTTTTAAAATAAAAAAAGATAAATTCCAGCCCATTATCACATCCACCAATTGTTTAGGGCTTCTCCACGCCATGTCAGTCATGGGTGAGATGGGGGGGGGGTGACCATACTTCACCGCCCTGGTCAGTGCGAGCGATATCACTCGCATTACACACACGCTCATCTACAGGCGCAGTCCTGCAATTCCCTTGCTCACGCCCTGCTGTCGGAAGGGTGCTCCAGGCTACCAAGAGGTGGCTCTGGAGAGACGCCCCCCCCTAATGCCGAAGGTTGTTTGGTCTACTCTTCCTCCTCCGCGCTTGCCAGACGACTTGCAAGGGCTCTGCGTCGAACACTCGCCAATGAATCCCTCCACTCGGTGACTTGTTCCGACTTCACAGCAGACGGGTTCCACCGATCAAAGCATTCCCCCAACGAAGTTTTCTCTCTCCCCACCACCAACAACATCATCACCATCATCATGATCACCATCATCATCATCATCACCACCATCATCACCATCGCCATCATCACCATCATCATCACCACCATCATCATCACCATCATCATCACCATCATCATCACCATCATCACCATCATCACCATCACCATCATCACCACCATCATCACCATCATCATCATCACCACCACCAACAACATCATCACCATCATCACCATCATCATCATCACCATCATCACCATCATCATCATCACCACCATCATCATCACCATCATCACCATCATCACCATCACCATCATCACCATCATCACCATCACCATATTCACCATCACCACCATCACCATCATCACCATCATCATCACCATCATCATCATCACCATCATCATCATCACCATCATCATCATCACCATCATTACCATCATCACCATCACCATATTCACCATCACCATCATCACCATCATCATCACCATCATCACCATCATCATCACCATCATCACCATCACCATATTCACCATCACCATCATCACCATCATCACCATCATCATCACCATCATCACCATCCACCAACACTTCTCCAAAACAAGTTGGCAACACTGGCCCGAGCACGCCACCTTATGCGTGCTACCAATTACAAGAGACGGGACGTAGAGGAAAGGGGATGATGATGAGGATGAGGAAGGGAAGGAGGGAGGAGGAGGGGAGACGGGCTACTGGAACATGCTGATAATCATGCCGCTGCTGCTGATGATGATGGTGATGATGATGGTGGTGATGGTGATGATGATGCTGCTGATGATGATGGTGGTGATGGTGATGATGATGGTGGTGATGATGGTGGTGATGGTGGTGATGATGGTGATGATGGTGATGGTAATGATGGTGATGATGATGGTAATGATGGTGATGATGATGATGGTGATGATGATGATGGTGATGATGGTGATGATGATGGTGATGATGGCGATGATGATGATGATGGCGATGATGATGATGATGGTGATGATGGTGGTGATGATGATGGTGGTGGTGATGATGATGGTGATAATGATGGTGATGATGTTGATGATAAAGATGGTGATGATAATGGTGATGATGATGATGGCGATGTTGATGATGATGGTAATGATGATGATGGTGATGATGATGATGGCGATGTTGATGATGATAATCATGACGTGAAACGCACCTTGCTGACTCCTTGACGCGCAAACTCCAACGCCAGCTGCCGACCAATGCCTCTTCCTCCTCCCGTGATGAGCACCACGTCCCCCGAGAGGTCGCGGGCCGGAGTCGCGCTCCACAGCGGCGACAGGAGAGCGCGGAGCAAACAGCGACACGTCTCCAGGGCGAGCAGCACGAGAAGGACCAGCAGGGCAAAGCTGCCCCGGCACGTTGCCATCCTCTCGCTGCCCGCCCTGCTTTGTATCTCTCTCTCTTCTCTCCTCCTGTCCCTCCTCCTCCTTCCTCCTCTCTCTTCTCGTCTCGCTCCTCTGTCGGATTGTTGTCTAAGTTGACTCACACCCACCCCCCCTTCCCCTTACTCCCGCCCGTGTGCCCTCCTCCTCTCTCTCTCTCCCTCTCTCTCTCTCCCCGTGTGTGTCTCTCGCTGTGTCTGTCTCAGCAGCAGCAGCAGCCTCAAGCGCGCCCTCTACTCCCACGCGGCTCCCTTCTGGTCTGACACCGCCACCACCACCACCCCCAGTACCCCCAGTAGCTCCCTGTCACCTCCCTTCTCCGCCTCGTGATGTCTCCCCGAGGCTTAGAGACGTTGTCCCAGCACGTGTCTAAGTAGCTCAGCGTGATTGTCTCTCTCTGTGTGTCACCTCTGTGCTCCTCCGCCACCTACCACCCACCACCCACCCACCCACCTACCACCCACCTACCACCCACCCACACACCTACCACCCACCTACCTACGACCCACCCACCCATCACCCACCCACCTACCTACCACCCACTACCTACCACCCACCCATCTACCACCCACCTACCACCCACCTACCTACCACCCACCACCCACCCACACACCTACCACCCACCTACCTACCACCCACCTACCACCCACCACCACCCACCTACCTACCACCCACCTACCTACGACCCACCCACCACCCACCCACCACCACCCACCTACCTACCACCCACCTACCTACGACCCACCCACCACCCACCCACCTACCACCCACCTACCTACCACCCACCACCCACCTACCTACCACCCACCACCGACCTACCTACCACCCACCACCCACCTACCTACCTACCACCCACCCACCACCCACCTACCTACCTACCACCCACCACCCACCTACCTACCACCCACCCACCTACCACCCACCTACCTACCACCCACCCACCTGCCACCCCCCACCCACTCACCACCCACCTACCTACCACCCACTTACCTACCACCCACCCACCTACCACCCACCTACCTACCACTCACCACCCACCACCCACCTACCTACCACCCACCTACCACCCACCTACCACCCACCTACCTACCACACACCGACCTACCACCCACCACTCACCTACCGTGTGTTGTGTGTGTGTTGTGTGTGCCACTGTGTGTGTGTTGTGTGTGTGTCACTGTGTGTCACTGTGTGTGTCACTGTGTGTGTGTTGTGTGTCACTATGTGTGTGGTGTGTGTGTCACTGTGTGTGTGTGTTGTGTGTGTCACTGTGTGTGTGTTGTGTGGTGTGTGTGTCACTGTGTGTGTGTTGTGTGTGTCACTGTGTGTGTGTCACTGTGTGTGTGGTGTGTGTAACTGTGTGTGTGTTGTGTGTCACTGTGTGTTGTGTGTGTCACTGTGTGTTGTGTGTGTCACTGTGTGTGTGTGTTGTGTGTGTGTTGTGTGTGTTGTGTGTCACTGTGTGTGTCACTGTGTGTGTCACTGTGTGTGTGTGTTGTGTGTGTGTTGTGTGTGTCACTGTGTGTGTGTTACTGTGTGTGTGTGGTGTGTGTGTTGTGTGTCACTGTGTGTGTGTGTGTGTTGTGTGTCACTGTGTGTGTGTGTGTCACTGTGTGTTGTGTGTGTGTCAATGTCTCGGTATGTGTGTGTGTTGTGTGTGTGTGGTGTGTGTTGTGTGTCACTGTGTGTGTGTGTGTCACTGTGTGTGTGTGTTGTGTGTGTTGTGTGTCACTGTGTGTGTGTGTCACTGTGTGTGTGTCACTGTGTGTGTCAATGTCTCGGTGTGTTGGTCTATGTTGTCTCAGTGTCTCTGAATGGTGAATGAACCTTCTGTCTGCAGTACGCGTGTCTCGTGCGTCCGCTTTCTAACATGTACGAATGCGTCTCTGGGTGTATCTATGCTGTTTGTCAATTTCTATCCCAGCCTTGCACGTGTGTGTGTGTATCGGCTTTTATCCCAGATGTGCGTGTGTTCGAGAGATTAAATCCCAGCTGTGCACGCGTGTGTGTGTTTATGTATGCGTGTATGTGTGTATATGTGTGTGTGTATATGCGTGTGTATGTATGCGTGTGTGTGTGTATGCGTGTGCATGTGTATATGTATATGCGTGTGTGTATATGTGTGTATGTGTGTGTATATGCGTGTGTGTGTATATGTATGCGTGTGTGTATGCGTGTGTGTATATCTGTGTGTGACTTGTCCAGCTGTGTCCGCGTACGACTTTCTATTCCAGCTGTGTTGTGTGTGCGTGTGTCCGTCTCTGCGTGTGTGTGTCTCTCTATATATATAGCAGCTGTGTCTGTGTGTGTCTTTGTTTCGTGAGTTTCTATCCCAGATGCCCCCCCCCCCTCCCCCTAATAACCCGAGCCCCCCCCCCCCGCCACTTCCCGGGACCCCCCCCAAATCGAGCTAATGTTGATCCCTTCGCTTGTCCCTGTTTCTGCCTCTCCTGCCACTGCTGTCGATGGGGATTTGTTTCTCGTCTTGCTGTGGACTTGTCAGCTACGTTGATGAGGATGATGGTGGTGTGGGTAGCTGCTACTGATGCACTCGCTATTCTACTCTTTGCTGGCTGCTGTTGCTGGCTGCTGCTGTTGCTGCTGCTGCTGGTGCTGCTGCTGCTGTTGCTGCTGCTGGTGCTGCTGCTGCTGTTGCTGCTGCTGCTGTTGCTGCTGGCGATGATGATGATGATTTTCGATGTTTTCCTGCCCGCGATGCTGCGTTGGGAGTGACACGTGGTGTGTCGCCAGACACGCACGCGTGTGGGAGTCTGGTAACGTTGTCGATCCTGGAAACCAGAAGTGTAAAACAAAATGAATGAATAAATAAACCTCGCCCTACTCCTCCTCCTCTACCCTGCACGATGGAACACACACACACACATACCGATATACACTCGCATACTCATATACACAGGCACCCATATAGTGCTGTTCGCGGCCACCTTTGAAGGCTGGAACGCCCATATACACACGTGATACACATAGAACAAAAAAATACACATATACACACAGATACTCATATACACACCGATACACATATACACACCGATACACATATACACACAGATACACACAGATACACATACTCATATACACACCGATACACATATATACACAGATACACATACTCATATACACACAGATACACATACTCATATACACACAGATACACATACTCATATACACACAGATACACATACTCATACACACAGATACACATATCGATATACACATACACACCGATACACATACTCATATACACACAGTCACACATACAAAACAAAGATCCTCCGTGTAGCCTGAACAGACTGTAGGGGCAAGTGTTGTTAGCGAGCACCTATGAAGGCCGGAACGGTACACGAGGGAGTGTGTGGACATCACTCCCGACCGCCTTTGTTTCCCTAGTGGAGATGTTTACACACCGCTCCAGGTACTCATTCTGGGGCCGAGTCGACCTAGAGGAGGCCCTGAACCGGATCAAATAATCGTCACCGGTGTTAGCCGTGAGCGGGAATCGAACTCAGGTCGCCGGGTTCACAGCGCAGCGTAGCGCTAACCACTACACGACCGCTCCCCACACGGACACACACACACACTGACACACACACACTGACACACACACACTGACACACACACACTGACACACGCACACTGACACACACACACTGACACACACGCACATACACACACGCACATACACACACACACACTGACACACACACACTGACACACACACACACTGACACACTGACACACACACACTGACACACACGCGTTAACACAGACACGTGTACGTGACAAGAGCGGCCCTTGTCTGTGATGTTATCGGACAATGCTAATCTCTGTATCTTATCGGATTCTGTCTGGTTTATCTCCTCCGCCGGTGTGTGTTGTGTCCGCGCGCTGCATTGTCGAGTCAACCTTTGCCCCCTTCCCTCCTTACCCTTCTCGCGTTACACTTTATTTAATTCGCTCCGCCTTCAACAATGTCCCTAATTCATCGTTTGTTACGAATGGGGGCCACTCGCCGTGTTTTCGAACATTCCGTTTAGTACCGCAGCAAGATCTACCCCCCAACCCGCAGGTGTAGCGCTGCAGTGTTTTTTTGGGGGGGTGGGGGATGATAAGGAACCGTTTGCAAGCTACAAACGAACCCCGGCCTCTCCTCCGTGCCGTTCAGTGGCCGATCCAACCCCCACCTCTGCCCCCCACCCCACCCTCTCCGTTGGTCACGTGTCTGAGCGGGACGGCATCAGACAAGCCCGCCAGCGGCCAATGGCAGCAGGCCCTCTCAAAGCGGCAATGGCTTTCGAGAATATAACGCCCGACTCATGAAACAACTCTCATACGCCATTGGAACCTCATTTGCCAGTAAAAAATATGATAATTGTTTTTTTAGCCTTTTATCTGGCAACAAAACTGACACCTTTTTTTTTACAAGGAGTCATGTTTGCATTGACCACAAAACCTGCAGTCATAATGCAAGCAAAAAACATAACTCTGATAATGATGCACTGTCCTTGAAGTTGATTGGTCCACACCCGAGACAGCTTTTCTTAGAGCCTAGTCTCATATGGTGTTGGACCAGATGACGCCAAAAGGCGCACAACTCCATGTGAGACGAGGCTCTAAGGAAAACTGTCTCGGGTGTGGACCAATCAACTTCAAGGACAGTGCATACATTATCAGAGTTATGTTTTTTGTTTGCATTATGACTGCAGGTATTGTGGTCTATGCAAACATGACTCCTTGTAAAAAAAAAGGTGTCAGTTTTGTTGCCAGATAAAAGGGTAAACCAATTACACTGGTAAAAAAAAAAAACTTTTTTTTCTGGCCTGGACTTTTCCAGCTGTTTTAGACTAATTTCAGGGTGCTGATTCCAAATCTGATCTCCGATTTGCTCTATCACATCTCATTTTATGCTATAGGCATACCCCATTTTCATTGATTTTACCCGAAAATAACTCTGTCACTTATGATTGCAAGTTGTTGCGAGTCAGTGACTGCTTTAGTGTTAAAATATGGTGCTGTATTTTAGGATAGCGTGTTTTTAATATCATTTTATGTAG